GTTTCTGCTGGGTCTCTCCAAGAAGCTGGAGGCCCACCATGGTCCCAGAATAGCCCAGATTCTTCATCCCCACCTTCTGGTCACCCCCGCTGCTGCCTTTTCAGAGAAGCTCTGCACCCAAACCAGTAAGTTTCTGAGGTCGTTTCGCCTCTTTTGAGAGGCGAAGACTTCACATGAATTCACATGGTGGGTAACGACTGCCATATGAATTACAGATGAGAGGTGATGAAACAACAGTTAAGAAAAACGTCCTCAGCTCAGAGGACGAAGCGGTTTCACATCCATAGACAATCCCAGAGCATTTTCAGAAGACCCAGTGTGAAGTGGGGGAGTAGCAGTTAGAAGCCCATGACAGTCCAGAAATGCTGTCTGTGGACCGAAGTCTTGGTTCTGGGCTCAGTGGGCACTTACACCGAGATGAAGGCACCCTCCTCCTACACGCTGGAATAGTAACTGGCTTGGTCTTGGGTGGGCAACCACAGCTTTGGTGAGCTCTTAAGTACAGTGGCTGGGTCATCACTAGAGAACGTTGTTTCCCTTTGCTCCTCCTCCACCTCTGGGTTTTGTTATGTTTTGTTTGTTTGTTTTGTTTTGTTTTTTGTTTTTTGTTTTTTTGAGACAGTTTCTCTGTAGCTTTGGAGCCTATCCTGGCACTCGCTCTGTAGACCAGGCTGGCCTTGAACTCACAGAGATCCGCCTGCCTCTGCCTTGCCGAGTGCTGGGATTAAAGGTGTGGGCTACCACTATTCTGCTCCACCTTTGGCTTGTATAGTCTTTTCACCTTCTCTTCTTGGATGGCCCCCCTCAGCCTTGTAGGGTGGCAGTGTGGGGGCATGTCAGATGCCTCGCTGTGACTGAGCACTCCATATAACTTGTAGCCTCTGCATCAGTAGTGACAGCTTTTTTGTTTTGTTTTGTTTTGTTTTTTGTACTAGGCATCCTTGGATAACATAACCTGAGGTAGGCCTGAGGCTGAGTCATCAGCATAGCTCCACGGAACTGTGTGGGAAAAGCAGACAGACCAGAGACCTCAGGAAACCTAGGATGTGTGGTCAGGCTAACAGAAGAGGTTTGTGGTGGTCAGAGGAGTGGGTTTGGATATGAGAAAGGGAAGGCTAAAGGGAAGCTGAGCAGAGTTTCATGAACACTGAAATTAGTCCAAGAAAAGGCAAGGTAACAGTGCAAATTGGTTCAGGAAATAGCTCGTTAGTTAAACCGAATACCAGGATGTACATACACAAACTGGAGATTGGATAGGTGAGCTGATATAACTAGCCTACATCGTCAAGAAGCTGAAAATGGCAGAGAAGAGATGGGAAGGAATCTGGTGGGGGCTTGACGACGGGGGAATTGATAGATGAGAGGTTCCTGACCATTTTCATCTGCTGGGGGGAAGACATGCAGAGGGCCAGTCAGCCTTCAAGGGGGGGGTGCCCTAGCAGCTCCCCCTCAGGAACACCCAACACGAAACTGGGGACTGCTGAAGGAGGTCCAGGTGGCATACACTACTGTGAGGTGAGAAGTGAGAGAGGGCCAGGCCAGTGCTCCACCATGCTCTACAAGCTCAGCCCACTGAGAGTGAGAGTGAGGGGGTGGCAGAGGGAACCTCAGAAACAGGAAGGTTCGGAAAGTTCTGCTGAATATTGTTAATAACCCCAACAGATATGGAGCAGCTAACAAACGCCTACATTATCTCCCAACCACTGGTCCCCACACTCCCTCCCCACACAGGGCTGTTAAGTGTCAGCTGCCTCTGTCTTGAAAAATAAATTATACATTTTAAGACACTATGTCTGCTTTTTCTTTCAGTAACAGGGGCTTGCTATTAACTATGCTCACACTGTAGTGAGGCCTCAGATCTGTGAGCCCCCCAGGGATTACAAACATATGCTACCACATCTAACAAGATACTGGAACTCTTGAGAAATGGGGCCTAGTTGGAGGAAGTTGCACCACCTAGGGTGGCCCTTCAAGGGGATATTGGGACACTGGCCTCTTCCTCTTTTTGCTTCCTGGCCATGAGGTAACAAGTTTCCTGTGGCTGTGATGTTCTGTCTTAGCATTGGCCTAAATAATGGGCCAAGTGACCAGGACCCAAGACTGCCAAAGCCGTAAGTCAAAATAAACCCTTTTCTTTATGAGTTTTGATCATCTCAGGCATTTCCCCACAACAATGACCATAAAGGGAGCAGAAAGAAATTTGGGGGTACAATGCTATGCTCATGGTCTCAGTGGTGTAACAGCTTTATAGACACACCCATATCTCAAACAGATGAATGTACGTGTATTACAGACATGGGTCCATATGTAGACATATATTAAATAGATGCAGCAATTTATACACAGTTCATATCTCAATAAAGTGACTATCATTTATCTTTAAATTTGTAATATCTAGTATAATATAAACAGCATATAAATACAATATTGAGGAATTATGACAAAAATGTACCAGTTCAGTTCAGATGCCATCCCCAACTTCAACTCCCTGTACTGTTTCTCCACTGTGTTTCTGCTCCTAGTAACTTTCCTTTCTCTTTTCATATCTCATGTGTGCTATTGCCTTCTTTAACCCTTTTCCTGAAGCCCCTTTCATAAGGTGACTTAGATTTGGAAAATAGTAGATGTTGTTTATATTATTGCAGTATATTTTTATATATGAATATACACATATCTTTTCTTTCCCCCTTAAATCTATTGTGTTAGACTGCTAGAACTTAAATTAGCAAAAATGAGAGAGCACAGGTACCTGAGAGCCATCTTCCACCCTGTATATTGTCTAAGATTTTCACTAGAGAAGGAATGTAGCCCAACATTTAATTTTCATTCTTAGATTATTAGTGAGGTTGAATATATTTAGTAACTGAAAGCAAATATGCTTTTAATTGTGAAAAATAGCAATATTTCAGGGGGTTGAGAGATGGCTCAATGGGTGAGCCAGCAAGGCTACAAGGGCCTGAGTTTGAATCCATAGCTTCCATGTAGAAAGCCGGGCATGACTGTGCACATTCCTGTAGCCCCAGAATTGAGGGGTAGGGAACACGCACATACTAAGAGTTTGCAGGCCAGCCAGCCTATCAGAAATGGTAAGTTTCCCCCTTCAGTAAAAGACCTTGCCTCAAGGCTATGAAGTGGCAAGGAAAGAAAGATGCCTGATATCCTGCTGATCTCTGCATGTACTCTCTCACACACATACACACCACACAGCACACATGCACATACACACACACACACACACACCCCACACAAATACAACACACACACATCCCACACACAGCACACATACAGATACTACACACACACACACACACACACACACACACACACACACACACACGATTAAAAACACAACACTGAGAGCCTGGCACTTGGGAATACACTTGAAATACTGCAGAAAGGTGTCTGTTTATGGAACTACTAGAACCAAGAAGGGAAATGCCTTACTCCTGAAATTCTCTGCAGCTCAGTCTACTGATAAAGCTTAGCAGAGTACCAGAAAAAAAAATGAGCCTTTTAAAAATATTTATTTCTGTGTGTATGCATGCCTGTACACATGTGCCTCTGTATGCAAAGGTCAGAAACTGGCACTGGGTGTCCTCTCTCTCTCCACTTCTTTGAAGCTGGGTCTCTCCCTGTTCCTGGCCCCCAGGCTGGTGTTTTCTCAGGTAGACCCAGAAGGCTAGAAGTCCTGGGCTCCCGTCTCCACCCTTTCAGATCTGGAGTTACAGGCATCTGCTGGCATGTAGGTGCTGGGTCCAGATCTGAGCCTCAATCCCCTTGCCCACTGAGCCATCTCTCCAGCCACCCCTCTCCACTTTTGAAGCAGGGTCTTGTTACATAGCCCAGAGTAGTCTCAAATTCGTGATTCTTCATCCTCAATGTTCTGATCTCAGATCGACAGCTCCAAATGTTTGCTCTGTCACAAACCAGTCTTCCTACCCCACGTAGAATCCTGTGCTCCACAGCTATAGCTTCACATTTGCTTGTATTCACTCTCTGTAGTGGAGACAAATTTCAATAGTTGGGATGGGGTCTGATGATTATCTCCATGTAAATGTATATAATCAAATGGTCTCAAAGTAACATCTATCCTTTTTTTCTGGGCACAGGTACCACTGCAAGATGATGCTGAGTACAAGATATGAGGGGCAGCTAGCACCTGTGTTTAGTCTAACTTTCAGATTTACAATCTCATCACTGAGCATGGTATTTGCTTTAGATTGTATGGATACCTTGCTAATTTTGCGAAGCTCCCTGGTATTGTGTTGTATTTCACACTTTTTTCATGAAGCTGTGATTTTATTACCACATTCTCAACTTTACCATAGAAATTGTGTGTTTTCTTGACTTGGTGGCATCTATTGATGCACTCAAAGTATTTGTTTTCATTTTATGTTTATCGGTGTTTTGCCTACATGTATGTCTGTGCACGGTGTGTGTGTGTGTGTGTGTGTGTGTGTGTGTGTGTGTGTGGTGTCCCCAGAGGCTAGAAGAGAGCAATGGATCCCCTGGAACTAGAGTTTCAGACTGCTATGAGCCACCCACCATGTGGATG